AAGGGAAAAGCAAATGAAACAAAGATGCAGTAGAAGGGCGGCATCAATCAGACAACATACCCACCTGGTGCAATTAGCACGTTTACCTTCTTATCATTTGCAAGCTCCCCTCTTGTCTGAGGGATTTGTGGCTGGTCTCTTTCTGAGCAGGGCTGCATTCCAAAAGAAAGGAGTCAAATGGCAGGGCAAGCTGGCAGCTCTAATCTTCTGCTGGCTCCTTCAGCCTCCCATTGCACAGACCCTTGTCTAACTCCCCTTTTGCCCATCCTTTGTCTAAATAGCCCTGCACTCTACCAAATGGTCTGCCCATCAAAATCTGTCACACTTCTCAGTATAACAAATGCTGAAATGACTGATCTCTATGCATGTCGGGGCCTAGGAATTTTTGGAGATTACTCCCCTAAGTCCACCAGTGTCAAATAAACTTTCCTGATCTTCTCAGTTCTCTGAGTGCCACTTGGTTCCTCCTGGGGTAAAGGGCTGAAGTTCCGCAACAGTTTAACTCATGAATCTGTGGGCCACCTAGAAGGGTCTGCCCATCCAGACGTAGCTCAGCTGAACTTAATGGGCTCGCTCGTGTGTCTGCAGCTGTGGCTCAGCTGGAGGCTGGCTGGTCTTAGAGGCCCACACCAGGGCACCTTTTGCATGGTGTTGGGAACTGGATTCATTCTGTCTTGGAGGCTGGGGAGGCCACTGAAGGCATTTCACTGCAGTTTGGATTTTATTGATTTAAGCTGCCGCTGAATGGCTGCAAAAATCAAGAGACCGATATGAATACTAATTCCTGGACGTGTCAGCTCAGGTACAGTCCTTACTGTGCATCCAGGGATGTTGCTAGGGACCTTGGCCTGGAATTGGGGACCTGGTTCCCCACCATTCCAGAGGGGCGGCTATAAGGACATTGACCACAAGAGGGCAGCAGAGAATCACTAGTTCAATGGTCACCCTTGTCTGGAAATGTGAGATCAGGACAAATCCAGATAAGGGTTTTTAAACAGGGTCCTGTGTAGAGGATAGAATTGCTCTGCACTGAAGCACTCACCAGTCTTCAGAGGTTCCTGTCTCTGCTCTGTCACCAGGGCCACTTCATGGGCGTGAGACCTGTGTCCTCACACAAAACCCTGCTCTCAGACCTCCAGGCTGCACAGTAGTTTTAATGCTCTAGTGTCAACATCTCGAAATTCTTCATAATTTTTAAAATTGCTGTGCATTTTTTATTTTGCACAGCAAATTATGTAACTGGCCTCTGTTTTTTTCATATACTGATTGCGTTTCCCTGGGCATGGTGTTAACCTTCATAGGATTGATACAAATATTTACCAGATAGTGTGTTGTACATGGTTATTTGAATTAATATGAAAACTACCTTATTATGAAGACAAATAATAAACATTCGATTACTTTTCGTTGTGACTATTCAAAGGTAGTGAGCAGATTGCTGAAGGCTGATGTCCACCATCACCTTGTAGAGATCCACCTGGCTGGCTGGAGTCCCAGGGCAAGTCAGGGATAATTAGGCAGCTTCAGAGGCAGTGCAGGCAGCAACATCAGGAGAGTTAAAGATGCTCCAGAGATAAGGGCAACAAATTGCAAAGGGAACTAATCAAACACTGCAGGATTACGGGAACAGGACATTGCCGAATAAAGATGATAAAGAAAAGTATGGTAAGGTAAGGGCTGGGACACAAGGTCTTAATTCTGGACACAGAGATATTAAGGCAGAGTGAATGAGAACACCAAGAACTAACCAATCACAAAGAGACTGGTGGGGCTTTAGAACAATCAGGGAAAGAATGTATATGTTCCCTGAGACAGGGCTCCACTTTGGCTTCCTTGCCCCTCCCTGGCCTGGATCCATGGGCCTTGGAGTTCCACTTTATTTCTGTTCCTTTTCTCTTTAATAAACTTTTTCTTTCTCTAAACAAATCTGGCTCTTTTCACCTGCTCACCTGAGTGTCAGCGAAGTTCCTGCTGCTGCTTCGTGAGACACCAACCCGTGGTGGTCTAGTGGCTGGGACTCAGCGCTGCCCCTGCAGCCTGGGATCCGTTCCTGGCTGGGAGACTAGGCCTGAAGACCTGAAATTATAGTATTGGCTAGCTGTTAATTGTCCATCTAGTGCCACTGCTAGGCTCTTGCTAGGGGGACCATGAAAATGGATCTGATCTTGGTCTTGACCCCAAGGAGCCCTCCATCTAACTGGAAAGCCTACCTGCATTTTCATTCCTGGTGTCACCATGCAGATGGGCACATATGAGCTTTAGACCACAAGGACTGAATTACCAAGGCCACCGGAATGGGAAAGCAGAGACCTGGTTCTGCACCAGAGGTGTGATCTTGGAAAGGACCTTCCTTGCGCTGAGCCTCAGCCTCATAGAAACAATTGCCCCCTTGCTCCAGGCTTGTCAGACAAGTATGAGGAGATATTACAGGTAAGGGACAAGCTGCCCCAGGGGCTGCTTGCTTGATGGTGGGAGCTTTGGAAAGGCTCACCCCCTGCTCACTCTCCCCTATCAGTGATGGAAGAAGACTGGACCCAGGCAGGATCGGGGATCTTCCTGCTGCTGACAGAGCTATGAAGACACAACATAAGTTTCAGCCATGAGCAGGGTTCCCATTGCAGGAGACCCCAAGTTCTTGGTAAAACAAAGGAGCTTTTTTGTAGCTTTGGAGGGTTAAGGAGAAGTTGTGCTGGGGAGAAGTGGTGCTCACCCATCCACCCGGTCTTCAATCCTATAAAGGAAACCTGTCCCTTGATTGACAGACTTTTGGTTCCAGAGTGGGTGGGCACCATTTTGGGAAATCAGTCAGGAACTGTCACCCCACCTCTCATTGTTTCCTGCAATGTCCCTATTGAGTCACCTCCGGACTCTATGTTGTCCTTACTGTCAGAGCAGGACACAGAAAATCAAAGAACCTGTTCCTGGCTTCTGGTCTAATAGGTTTGAGCCCTGAAAAATCTCAGGGGAGTTGATAGATTTGGAAGAGTGAAAGATGATCCAGCAGGCAGACTTCGTGATCAACCACAGATTTCCCAGGCTAGGAGGATGAAGAGAAGGGAGGATTTGGTGCTGCCAGCATGGCCGAGAGCAGAAGCCTAGGAGTGCACCCCAGGTAGGTTTTAGAGGCATCTGAGAATTGAGGAGACCTGGGCCTCCACTCTGGACAAAAACCCAGAGAGCAGCCAGAGTCCTGATAAAAGCGGGCTCCTTCAGGTTGCGGGGCAGCCAGATTTAAACCAGGATTGCCAAACTCTGGCAGGGGCTGCCATCCCCACAGCGCCCTGCCTGGACTCTGTGGACCTGATCCCAGCTGAGCAGTCCAGGCAGGCACCCAGCCCAGAGGGCCTAGGGGGCAGGGATCCAGCCCCTGGTCAGGACAATCTGTCCTGGAGGGGCCTGGGATGACCATTCAGACTTTCTTTGCACAGAGACAACTCAAGCAGGCATGCCAAGTTCAGCAGAGGGGATGGAGTGGGATGTGAGGTCACAGTGAGCAAGCAGACCCAGAGGGCATTGGCAGGGGCTGCCAGAGCAGAGGCCAAGAGGAGCTGAGCGGCCAAGAAGGTGGCTCTGCTGGTGTGGGGCTTTGCTGCAGGAGAACTGGCAAATTGACCCCAACACAGTGGCTTCCATGGGTGGCCATCCTGTCCATAACATTCCAGTCTCTGCAAGGCCCGGTCAAAGAACTGTTGCTTTGGTTTCCTGCCTTCTTCCCACAGGCCCTGAAACATCTGGGTGGATCTACAGGTCTTGCATCTCCAGGGACCAGGCACACAGCTCCCGTACTCACTTATTGGTGCATTTGGGGTGCCTTTAGCCCATACTCTGTATGGGGCCCTGTGGTCTGACATTTCAGAAAGGGTTTGTGGCTCTCAACCTTGGCTTCCCATAAGCATGGAAGTCAGGAAAAATCATGATCTTCAGGCCCCTGCCTAGGCCAACAGAATCAGAATCAGCACAGGCTTGTGCATAAGCATTTCTAGAAGCTGTACAGGTGATGCGGAAGTCCCTGTAGTTCCAGGAAGGCAGGGCCCCTTATTTCGTGGGTCTGATGGCCTCTGCAGGCTTCTGTTTCTTTCATTCCTCTTGCTTTTTTGTATCACCAGTTATTTTCAGTATTTTCCATCCTAGAGCTGCACAGGGTGGGGGCAGCTGCAGGAAGGCGCAGAGGGACAGGTCATCAAGGGAATCCATGCCGTTCCTGCCTGGGGGGCCAAGGCGGTGGCTGGGCAGTGTGGTCTGAAAAACCGCCTTTAAGGGCAAGGTCCCGTAGTTCCAGCAATGACTTTGGGTGACTCAGCCAGCCTTCCCCCAATCTGGGTCTCCCCTTGTCCATATGGAGGGTGGTCAAGAGTCCTCCCCATGCCCATTCTAGTTTAAATTTGGCGGTGGGTACTGTGCTGCTCATGTCCCCACACCGTACACACTTGTGGCTCCTGGGGCTCTCCCTCAGGGCTAAACCCTGGGGTGTCTTGGTGTTGAGGAGAAACCCCCATGAAGAGAGACTATCCCAGCTCCCTCCCTCCCCTGGAGAAGCACCCTGAGGTTTGTTGTATTCCACCCCCTACTGGCCTCTGAGAAGTGGCTCTTGACACAGTCCACATGAAGTGCTTTCCCTTGTAGCTCTTCTCCACTCCTCTCTCAGCGTCCCCTCGGGCCACCCATCAAATAAACAAATGCACTCAAATCCTTGTCTTGGGGTCTGCTCTGGGAGGTGGGGACCAAGCCCAAGACATCACACTAGACCCCTGGGATTCCATTAGGTGCATACATACTGAGGAGTGTGGTATTTTCTTGGGGAGACCCAGCAGGGCTCCACAGTCCCCTCAGCAGCTCATGCGGTACCTTCTTGCTCCTGTGCTCTCTCTTCACCTTTCTTTTCCTGAGGAGGATGGGTTAATCTCCAACCCAAGACACAGCCACTGACATGGTCTCCAAAAGAACATTTATTTCCCAAATTGAGGCCATGCCATACACATGTGAATTTCCCCTCCCTAGCCTGTGCCCTTCCCCACCAGAAATTGCCCAGTCTCCATGAGAATTCACCTCTTTGGCCCATAAATGCCTCCCGTAGAAACCCTCCTGGGCCCTCCTGGGCGTTGAGGCCAGTCAGGCCTGCTGCTCACAGCTCAATGTGCTCTGTGTGTGGCGGCTTCTCTGCGGCCTCCTGGGCCAGGAGTTCAGCCCAGAAAGCCACTTCCTTGTCTTTCAGCTTCTGGGCTGCCTGTGTGGTGGCTCCAATCTGCAGGTACCCTTCCTTCTGGTCATATGCTGGCCAGTGTGGCAGCCCCTCCCCATTGGGGTTCCTGGGAATAGAATCAAATATAATTCCCTAGAGCTACTGTGTGGCCCAGTAAGCCCTAGAGATTTGCAGTGACCACCACCCAGCTTCATCTTCATTTCCTCCAACAGGCTCAACACCTCCAGAGGCGGAGAACACAACACCTCCAGAGGCGCGGAACACACCACCTCCTAGGTGGCCTCTCCAAACGGGAGACTCTCATGTCAGAGGTCTCATGGTCAGAGGTCACATGGCCAGAAGTTTGACCATTTCACATTAGCAGCAACCCCCTTCCAGCAGCTGTGCCCTGCCCCAGCCCCGCTGCATCTCTGCCATCATGCTCACCCAGTCCGAGCAAAGTTGGCCCAAAATTTCATGACCATCTTGCTGAGTTTGATCTCCTCTTCAGAGGCACCTTCTGTGGAGAAGAAGAAAAAATAGTTTTGCTACTCAAAGTGTGTTTCCTGGGCAGGTGGCAGTGGAGAGCTGGCCAGAAATTCAGGCTCTGAGTCCGTAGTCTAGAACTTCTGTCTCAAAAGTTGCAATTGGGTAATTTACATGCACTCGAAGCTCGAGGGTCACTGACCTGGGCTCCGTGAGGGCAGCAGTCAACCCTTTGTGACCACCGCCCACACCAACCCCTTCAGGCCCTTAGTCAGTTATCCCAGCTCGGGATTGCTCTTCTTGGGTTTTTTCTCATTCTCCGTCACCCACCCACATTTTCACAGAATCTAATACAACACAGAGCTGCAAGGGCCTACAGAAGCACCCAGCCAGGAAATACCCAGGGCCCCTGAGGTGTCAGGGACAGTCTCCAGGTGGCTAACAAGTCACCTGTAACTACTAGTAGTTAACATACTGAAGGTGTTTGTGAAAGATCTTCTTTAAAGTATAACATAATTAAATATATTTTAAAAGATTTTTTAAAAAGATTTATTTATTTATTTATACAAGCACTGGGTACAGTCAGAAGTGTGGGAGGGAGAGAGAATTCACCAGAGCCAGAGCAGGGAGCAGAAAAGGCAGACTGACGAAATACACTGTTGAGGGGAGCAGCAGGCAAGACAGGCAAGGTCTGCTGCACCATGTGAGTAGCTCCCTGGCTGGGGATCGAACTCATGCTGCAGTGGCTGCAGATAGCTTCATAGTGCTGAGACTTAACCCCTTGTGCCACCAGGGAGGCCTTTACAGGAATTTTAGATGGATGGATAGAGATACGTTGGTCCTGATTCAAGGTCAATGCCAAATTTTAAAAAAAGATTTATTTATTTACGCTTATAAGAACAGGGGTACAGGCAAGAGGTGTGGGGGAGGCACCTCAATGCCAATTTTAACCTGACTCTCACTCACATTCTGTTACGCTCTTGTGAGTGGGAGGGCAAGAGGTGCCAGATCCCTGCAGGTTACCCATCATTTATCTTATTGATGCCCAGACCCGGTTCCTAGCATAGCCATGGATGAGGGAGCAGGCCTACACATTTTCCATTGTGCATGTCAAAACAGGAAAATGCTGGAACCCTTTGTTGTTAAACTTACTACAGTGAATTCAGGGCCTCTCTGGTGGTGCAGGGGTGAAAGTCTCAGCACTATCAAGCTATCACCAGCCACTGCAGCATGAGTTTAATCCCCAGCCAGGGAGCTGACCCACATGGCGTAGCAGACCTCTCCTGTCTTGCCTGCTGCTCCCCTCAGCAGTGTATTTCAGTGGATCCGCCTGTTCTGCTCCCCACTCTGTTGCTGTTGAATCCTCTTACTCTCTCCCACCACTTCTGGCCTGCAACCCGAGTTCTTGTATGCATAAATAAATAAAAATAAATCTTTTTTTTTTTGAAAAAAACAAACAAACAAAAACCCCAAAACTATTATGGTGAATTCAGGAAATTAAGACTTAAAGAGGAAGAACTTGCCCAAGACCACCAAATGGGGGACCCAGATCTCCTCACTCCATACTTGCAGTCTCAATAAGGTCATCATCACCTTTAAAAATGGGGCTCCGAAGACCGAGAAGAGCTCATCCCCGTGGTCTGACACCTTGGGTTTCAGCTCTGACGAGAAGCTTGGGCTGTACTGGTACTCATACATGTAGGTGGGGGCTCCGGCATCTGAGAGGATATAGTTCATGCACAATTCATTAAATAGATGCACCCTTGGGGGGGTGTCAGATGTCCAGGGTCCCTGGGCACCCAGGGAAACTGCAGCACAATGGGGGCCTGAGAACACAACAGTAACAGTAGTAGCCACTGCCTGTCTCAGTGCCAACCACGTGCTGGATACCGTGTGTCCCTACATGAGCCCCTACCCCTGATGACCAGCATAATAGAGAAGCAGAGTCTTGGGGAAGCCCTATGACTTGCTGGAGCTGGGATTTGCCATGGTTGAATGGAGCTGGGATTTGAGCCTTGTATTTGCTGAATGAATGAATGAATGAATACTGGCTGAATAAAAGAACAATGAAAACTTGGTGAATCCATTCAACTTTCATTACAGGGTGGGGGTCAACTTACATCATAAACCCCTTTGCCTACTCAACACAGCCACACCGAGACATACATGTACAGATTACGCTGCTGTAACACATAGATCCCTGCCTGGTTTGCATCCTTTTGGAGAACACCTGCAGCCTAACAGGTGTCTTCTGACCTGTCTCACTTCCAGTGTTTTCTCACCTATTCTAAGGAGGATGAAGGGGGTCCAAGTGGCTGGTCTGAAGGTGCAGCTATTTAAACACAAACCTGTGCACAAAGGTGACAGGTTGCCACTTGCGTCAAGGAAAACCACAAGCTCAGGGTTTCCTATGCCACTTCACTTATCTCACTTCCTGTTTGGCCAGGGGGGCAGGAAGGTAAGGGCTAGAAAGATAAAGGGCCAGGACAGACAAAGTTGCCCCTCTCTTTTCTCCTGCCTGGTCCCTCACCAACTCCACTCCAAGCCCCAAGAAGATACCAGGTTTCCTGCTGATTATGCCATTGGAGCTGCCCTCTCCTGCTTCTTGGGGACTAACTCTTGGGCCACCCAACTGTGGGGAGAGGGTTGCTTTGCGGAGATCACAGTGCCCATAGACGGGGGATCTCATGGCGAAGGGCTGGGTGCTGACTCAGGCTGGTGGAGAAATTTTACAACCTTCCCCACTTGGATACAACAATGAACTTGGAAAATGCAGAAAAAAGGAAAATGAACAATATGATCATTTATAATCCCACCATTCAGGGAAACCACTATCATATTTCAGCACACACCTCTCCTATGTGTATAAAGTTGGGATAACAATGCATATATTATTTCATAACGCCAATCATCATTTCTTCATGTAATGAAATGTTTGTCCACAAATGACAACATCATATGCCATCCCAACATGAGGATGTCATTTGTTAAATGGCCTCCCTAACCCCTGCTCCCCATCATGACATCTTTGAGCAGGAAGTATTATTTGGAACAAGCAAACTTGTGGTTCGTAATTCACTCATTAAACAGTTGAGTCAAGGTCAAGCAGAGCTTGCTGAAAGGAGGGGTTTAAAACTGACCTGTTCCACTCCAAAGTTTTGGCTTCATTCTTCTTCAGCTCCACTAGTTAATAAGTGAGTTTGCAGCTAGCTCTGACTTTGGACTCTTCAAAGACTCATCTAAGATTTGCCCTCTGACCATAACTTCTAGTAAGGAGCCCCTATAGTGGAGGCTGCTGTTGCTCACCCAACCCCTACTTCTGGGTATGCCAGCCTGACTGCTGCCTTGGGATCTGTAGCTCTTGGTCCAAGGTCTTTGACCATGGAGACCATTCTGTCCATGTGGGCAGCATGCCAAAGTGCCAGGGAATTAATGGGCCCTTGGGAACGGGCCCCTTGCAAGGGACAGTCACGAGACAAGTCTTCTACCTCCCCAGGGCTCCCCAGCTCTGCTGGCCACTGCGGACACTTGCTCATCAATACGGCATTGCTTGGTTCCTTCTTCTCTCCATGTCACCGCTCTACTCCTCCCCTGGCGTTTTCTGGGATCATCTCCCAGATAATCTACTTGAGTTCAGATCCTTGCCTCAGAGTCTGATTCAGGCAGAAATCAAAATAAGACAGTGCCCCACCCCAGGACTTATGGAGTCAGCCTTGGAGGCCTAACCCCCAGCTGTTCCCTCACATCTTTCCATGCTGAGGGTGGGCAAGACAGACAGGAAAGCTTGTGGGATAGCTGTCCCTTCCCTGTCCAATGTCTTGAACTCACCTCTGTGACTACGGGCCACATTCACAGAGGGGACACCAAATATCAAATCTGCCATCATTTTCAAGAACAGGTCTTTCTTTTTGACAGGGTCGTCTGTCCCTCCTAAATACTCCTCAGTGGCCGCTGCAGTCAGTCCCTCGGGGACATTCTGAAAGGGATCAGGAATGAAAGTGACAGCTTCCTCCCTGTACCCGCCCCTGTGGCAAGGCACAGCTTCTTCAGCCAGTGAGGAAGACTTGAGTTAATGGGCAGCTTTTCGCCCTGTGCAACCCCTGACCCAGGGTGCTTGGGTAAGAAAGGCAGAGGGGTGTGGACAGAGACCCCCGGGCCTAGTCTTCATTCTGCCATTTAATTGCTCTGTGAGGTAAGGTGTGGCTCCACCCCTCCTTGGGTCTCAGCTAGTTCCCATGTTTCTCCCAAAGTCTTACAACAACAGGATAGGACTTCCATAGGAGAGATGTGGCTGACTCCTGGTCCAGCTTGCCTTCTGAGAGTGGGTAGCCCATCATCTGTTAAAATAACAGTTAATCATTTGTGACTCACTGGGAATTAGCAGGAAGAATCAACTGACCAAATGCCCAAGCCAATGCGGCTGAAGGGCCTCTCCCTTCGTTATGTCTCCTGGACGTGGGTCTTCGATGAGTTGGGAAAAATTAATGATCTAATGGACTTATATCTAGAAAGTCAAGATGTGCTGAAGATAAAGTAAATGTTTAGACAAGTGGGCCCAGACCTTTGCAATTGTCTGTGTCTGTTTCCGTGTCTGTGTGTCTCTATCTATCTGCCAACTGTCTATATATACAATGCAATTGTCTGTGTCTGTCTGTCTGTCTCTATCTGCCAACTGTCTACATATTCAGTGGTCAGTGAGACAGGGGAGGTTTATATCAGGCTAGTGCTGAAGTCAGGACACTGGAGAAGATGACACAGACCTCACAAATATCCGTCCCCATTCCAAAGGCCAACGAAGCCCAAGTCCCTCCATTATGATTTTTTAAAAGATTTATTTATTTATGCATATAAGAACTGGGTGCAGGCTAGAGGTGTGGGAGGTGAAAGGGTTCACCAGAGACACAGTGGGGAACAGAACAGGCAGACTGACTGAAATACAATACTGAGGGGAACAGGGGTGAGTTAGGAGAGGTCTGCTGTGCAATGTGGGTCACCTCCCTGGCCAGCCAGGATTGAACTCAAGCTGCAGTGGCTGCAGATAGCTTCACAGTGCTGCATCTTAACCCTTGTGCCACCAGGGAGGGCCCCCATTATGATTTTATATTATAGCTTTACTCCTTGGGTAAGACCCAAGAAATTTTTCAAGGTTAGGAATACAGAATTCTGTACTTAATGTCTCCATCCAAGCCTCTGCAGGTGACCACACTCCAGCATGGCCTCTGGCCACTTAAGGTCACATACCTAGGATGCCTTGAGTCCCTCTTTAAAACATCTACCTGAGAAAGCTCCAGACACCAGGAGAACTTAACTGCCATGGATTCTAGTAACAAACCTGGGATGGGCAGAGGGTCCTCAAACTCAGCTCTAGAAAGCTTGCCATTATAAACCTGGTCTCTGCCCTTTGAGATGTAAATTAAACACCCAAAACTGGTTCCACAAGGACCAGAGAGCCTTCTCTCTGAAAAGAAAACACTCAGTCCTGGGGTGTGGGGAGGGAGTATAAGGTCTACCCTTGGTGGGCACCTGGCTTCCACTTACACCACTGCTCCTGCCATCAAGACAAGTCGATTTCTCCTCCAGAGAAAACTCAGGTGGCCTAGTCACATGGACAAACCCACATGCACAGCCCACCTCTTAGTACACTATGGCCTTTATATGATCTCCAGCCTTTTGTATCAGGGATGAGAGCTCAGTTCACACTAGACTCTTCTCCCTATTGCAGTGGGGTCACTGAATAAACCTAATGTTCCAACTTCAATGAGTGTATAAAGCCCTTGCTAACTTTTAGAAGACAATTCTAACTCAAGAGGAAACACATTTCTCTGAATCTGTCCAATTAGATGACTAAGAGCAGAAAGGGGGATTTATGGGGAAACTGAAAATCCCAAGCCTGGGGGTGAGGCTGCTAGTAGGGCCCCAGGCTCACTCCTCACTCAAGTACCTCCTGTCAAGGCTGTGGTTCCCCCTTCAGCACCCACGAGTCTCCCCCAGCCCCTACATGCCAGGATCTTGGTTTGAAGACCATCAAGAGAGGGTTTGGGGAGAGTCTCCTGGGCTATACCACCCAGGTGACCATTGGGGTATCCCAGAGAAAGTGTCCATGGAAATGTCAGTTTGTGCTAAAGGGGACAGGGATCTGGGGGAGGGGTGGCGGGGCGGCAGGCGGCAGTCTTCTAAGAGCCCGCAATTGCTCACCATTGGCAGAAGCCAACCAAACTCATCCTTGTTGATTCCAACCATGTAGGGAACAGTGTTCAGGTTCTTTTCAGCCATCATCTCTTCAGGGGTCTTCGGCAGCAGCACTCCATCAACCACAGTGGGCAGGAATGGGTGGCTCTGGGAAAAAGCCAGCATGCTGTTTGTGCTTCTCCCATACAGACACTGATGTCCTCATCTCCAACCACCTGGGTGAGACCTGCATGGCCATGGGCAGTGGCCACTGAATTCAGGGTCCTAAAAAAGGCAGCTAAGTCTTTCTGACCCCAAAAGGTAGAAGTTTGCCCAGGGGAAAGCAGTGGTAAGGTGATGGGTAACTACCCCAGCAGGAGGGCTGACAGGGCAGGATATTGAGAAGTTGCTTCTCAAGAAGGTAAAGTCATCAGAACCCGGCCAGGTTGCAGGATGGGAGGAGAGGAGAGATGGAAGGGGATCCCCTTCCTGAGGGTCCTGCAAATAGTGAGTTTGTGATACTAATCCTTCCTGCAGCTTTCAGGAGATCTGGGCCCTTCCTGTAGACTCCCCTATCCAGTTATCTCCACCTCTTCATGGTGGAAAATTCTAGTCTCCCCTTCTCCCCCAGGGGCAGGAAATATAAACATGATGGGGGAGGCAGCCTGGGGGCTGGGCCCAGGGAGTTAGAATTAATGAGTGGGAGCCCTGGATTAGGAATCAGGGGATTGAGTTCCAGATCCACAGTTGGTCCTCCTGGCGGTGTTACCTAGGCAAGTCACCGCATTCCTCTGGGCCTCAGCAATACAAACATGAGTCCAGAGGGAGATTTCTTTCATTCATAATTAACTACAGCTTAAAGTTGTCAAGATTTACAACCTATAATCAAGAAGTCAAAGGTCCTTACCTCCCTGGGTCTCCAAGTAAATCAAGAGAGAAAAATTTCTGTGAAGACAAAGAGAGAATGTGGGTGAGAAAGGAACCGGGGAAAAAAATCTGATGTTTGTGAGCTGTGTGCTGCCAAAAGTATCAGGTTCAAGGTATCAGGTTCTCCTCACTGGTGCCAACCTGGCTGGGCCAGGAGGAAGTGGGCAGGATGCTGGCTCCCCTGGACACAAGCTCAGGGGGAGGAGGTGGGGGGGTGCTGGGGAGTGAAGGGGTTGGAGCACTGAGAGATGTCTTTTGTGCCTGCCCTGTCCTCCATCCATGTCTCCTCCTTGTTCCCCAGAGCAACAACATCCCGATTTTCCTTTGGGATACCTCCCATTTCCCCATTCTCACTCTATGAATCCAGGCCTCTGTATGTGACCCAGGGTGCTTCCTTTCCTGGGCACAGAGATTGGTTCAGGGATGGGCATGTGCCCATGTCAGTCCAGTAGAGTTAACCTCAACACTTCTGCTAGAATTACTAGGGAAGAGTGCTTCTAGACAGATAGGATCTAAGTGTAGAGAGCTATTGTTGTCATCGACCTCCCAAGGAGACAAACTCCTAAGAGTGAATTTAACATGGGTGGATAGGTGGATGGATGGATGGATGGATGGATGGATGGGTGGATGGATGGATGCACAGATGAATGGAGTTGGTAAATACAGGAATACAGGCAAATTGGATGTTTAAGTGGATAAATGCCTGATAACTAGCAGGTAGGTGATGAATTCACTATTGATTTTAGAGAGATGAGTAATGGGGTGAAGATATATGATGGCTGGATAAACATGAGTGATTGATAATAAATTAATGAAAGGTAAAAATGGATTGACATTAGGTTGATGAAAGGATATCAATGAACTGGATGGATTGGTGAAATTATAGATGGATAATAAGATGGTGAATGAACGGATGAATGACTGTGTGGATGCATGTTATCCCAGAGTCACAGTTGAGGCACTCTCAGAAAACCCCTACGGGGTTGAAACTGAGTTTCTAAATTAACCAAGAAAACTGTGACAATTTTTCTGAAAAATTTTTGTTCTTCGTATCGCCAATCTTAAAGTTCAGAATGGTAGTGGCGTGTGGGAATATGCAATGCCTGATTTATTAGAAATATATCTGAAACAAGAATGACAAAATAGAAAGTCTGATAGAGCTGGGAGATTATTATACCATTGTACATTATACTATTTTTTTAATTTACTTTTTTTTAAAGATTTATTTATTCATGCATACAAGAACCGGGATACAGGCCAGATGTGCAGGAGGGTGAGAGGATTCACCAGAGACAGAGTGGGGAACAGAACAGGCAGACTGAAACACACTACTGGGGGAGTAGCAGGCGAGACAAGAGAGGTCTGCTGTGCCATGTAGGTATCTCCGTGGCGGCAGGGATCGAACCCACACTGCAGTGGCTATGGACACCTTCACAGTGCTGTGCTCAACTGCCTGCGCCACCAGGGAGGCCCCATTATACTATTTTTTGACTTTGCGAATGTTTAAGATATTTCCGAATAAAAAAGGAATGAAGAAATACTTCCTCCAGACCAGAAGCTGACATTAGCCTGGACAGCTGAGAAACGTCCCAGGTAGTCTTTCTGAGGCCCAGTTCACAGGCTTGGGGAAGGTACAGCGAGAGGTGTGTATAGGTACCTACCATCTTCAGCGACACGTCCAAAAGCTCTTCCTCTGTCTTCTGGCGCAGGCAGTGAACAAGGACAGCTGAAGTGGTTGTCTTACAACCAGCAAAGAAAGCAATTTGCTGCAGAGAGATCAAAGGGGACAGCAGAATTCAAGAGGCATGTCCCTTGCCTCCATCAGTAAAGAGGTATTCTTGTCCAATGTTGATGTCTAAAGGCAGCAGGGGGTGGCAGAAAATCCAACAGACCAAGAGGTGTGGGTCCTGGGTCCTAGTCACACCAATTACACAACCTCCATCTATGTTACCTTATCTCTGTTAAAAGGACATGCTCTCAAGGCTGAACATCAAAACAGAGGCAGCATGGAGTGGGGCTTAACCCTAAAATATGCTGTCTGGTTTCAAATTGCAGCTCAGCCACTTGCTAACAATTTGGCATTGAGCAATCCGCAGGTAGGGTGAGGGAGAGAGGAAACTGCTAACAGAGACAAGGCAGGTTCCAGAACAATGGGGTATGGGGAGGGTGCATGGGCGCCCCATTGCTTAGTATCATGTCTGACACAGGGTGCCTGAATGTATTTGTTGAATAAAGAAAAAGTCACAGGGAGAAGTAGAAGAGGAGAGAGGGAGAGACTATGAGTCTTAGATTCCCTTCCTTTTGCCAATGTCAAGTTCCTGTTTAACAGCAAAATGTTCTTTTCTCTGTCACCTCTTTAAATAAATTCCTCCTTGACTTAAGCCTGGTCAAGTGCGTCTATTGTTTACAACTAAAAAAATTCTTTAAAACATTCTCAAAACCCCCAAAATTCCTGGTGGCTTCTTTTGCTCCCCTCCTACTTACAAGTCCCCTTTAGTCTGGTGCTGAAGCCAGCTCTCACAGCCCTGACTCATCACTGACTGTAGGGGGCGCTCTTCTCAGCAGAACCTCCCTGTTGCTCACCTTCCTGGGTTTCCTAACACTCCAGATAAAGACAAACTCCTCACCAGGGTCCTTCTTACGCGTCATCATGATCCCTGCCAACATTCCGCCATTAGTCTACTTCAAGTTCCCTCTGCTCCTCCTCCAGCCACATCAGCCTGTCTTGCTTGCTCCCACACAAGATACCTCCTTCTATCCCAGGACCTTTGCACATGGTGCTCCCTCTTCCTGGAATACCCATTTCTCACTGAGTAAATAACTGCCCATTCTTCTGATCGCAACTCATTGATCCATTTTCCAGGAATTTTTTCCTGATAATCTCCCCTTACACTCTGGGGTAAGTGCTTCTTTTGGATGCTTGTTGGGAGCCTGCTGCCCTAAAAGGAGCTGGAGTTTTTGAAGAATACCTGTTTACTCTGCATACGGAGTTCCAGGACATTAGAAGTTCTGCAAATAGAACTTCTTCCCAGAATTGACTCCTATTCTCTGAGGACCTACTGGCTTCTGCTCATGTTCCTCACTAACCAGAAAAACTTGCTTTCAGTAGTAGCTTATTAATCTGTATAAGCAAAACCACAGTTGCATGCTATTTTCTTGTTCCTTTGTTCATATCTTCAATAAAAGCTTGGGCTGGGAGAGTGAAAGGCAGAGCAGCTCTCGATGGCACTCTCCCTGGCCTCCCCACATTGCAAATTCATTTAGACTCCAAGTCTTTGTTAATGGCAGAGAACTTCATCGGCTGTCCTGTCTGCAGCAGATGCTGTTATGACATCAGGTACCTCTCCTTTATTGCTCTTGTCACAGTTGACATTTAATAATTAGTGTGATTATGGAACCATTAACTGTCTCCGTTCTTATAATGGAAGCTTCATAAGGTTGCTAGGTGTCTCTATATCAAAACTATTTATTGAGTAAATGAATGAATTCTCTAGGAACCAACCCTGGTTACAAGGTCTTCGGGGAGGAACCACTCCAGACCCACATTCAGTAAGGGGGTTCACCAGAAATCAGACTGGAAAGGGACACAATGACAGTCCAGGCCTACTGTTCAACCCTGCACCCCACCTTGGCACAACTGAGGCAGTGCAGTTAATTTGCCCAGAGCTCCTGCTCTGCCCTGACAGCTTGATGACCTTGGCATGTTTCTTCTGCTTTATGATCCAGTTTGCTCATCAGTGAAACTGGGAGTTGAATGAGATGTCTCCTTGCCCTTCTCACTCAGATATTCTCATTTTCAAGATTTTTTGAGGATGTCAGCTGGATCCCATAGCAAGAAAATTCTCAGATTTCAGGTCACAGAACAATGGGTATAAGAGGGATCCAGAGTGAGTGAGACCTACCTGAGCTGCAGCACTCATTTCCTTCTTGACCAGAACAGAGTGAGGGACACCACCACTCTCAGAGATAGCCCGGTGGAAGAGGTTCTTAGACAAGGGAGATAAAACCTGGGAAGGGAGTGGAGAGGAAAGGAGAATATGCTTCTGGACAGGAGGTCTTCAATGACTTCCCTCACCCCTTGTACTGCCCTGGTCATTTCCCTGGGGACCCTGGAGTTCAGTGGACCCCTCAAAGCCTCTCGTGGCTTTGCCTTTCTTCAGGTTGCTCCAAGAAAACATCAGCAGGAGGGAGCCAGGACCACAGGGCAAGGGACAGAACACAAAGTATGTGGTTTGTGCCAC